TGGTCTAGTACCGGATTAGAAGTTGGTGGTCCTGCGTGGCAGGGGGACTGGAAATTGACCCTTGGGGTCCCTTCCAATCCAAGCCATTCTGTGATTCTGTGATTTTCCTTTTAATTGTACCGATTTCATTCCTGAGATATCTCAGGAATGAAGTTTTGCTGGTTTTCCTTTCAGTTATCCTTCGAAGTGTTAGAGATTGATCATAACTGACGCCAAAGCCTGAGAAAGATAGACCACTGCTCCGAGACAGTACAGAAAATCCTCCTAGGCTTCTGCCTGGTGCATCTTGTTCAAAGTTGAAAACCACCATGATTATTGTGCTTAAGTGTACAGGTCAGGCCAGGGTCAGATGGGAGCAGTATGATTTTACTTTTCACTTTGTGCATTTTTCCTCTCTGTCCCTTCCATTTCAAGGTCAGGGATCAAAGTATGACTGCTGGGATCACTGGGAATATCACGCTTTGTTCACTGGTGGCACATTAAGCTGCCCTGCTCTTTATGTGAAGCACATAAACCAGTTTGGAGACGCAGTATTTTGGCCATAGCAAAGTGCTTGGATTTCCTTGAAGGTATCTGGATGAAATTTTATGAACTGTAGTACATAGAAGCCAGATCAAATGATCTAATAGTCCCTCGTGCCCTTAATTTCTGCAAAGCTATGAAACTGTATTCCCAACATACCTTGGCAAATGTAGTCCACTAACTTAGCAGATTATGAACAGCGTGAAATCAGAGAACACCCTTTGCCAAAATATACTAGGAATGTTTTGTTATCTGTTCATACATAACTTATTCCAGATGAGATAAACTCTTAATAGTGAGCTAGCTAGATAAACAATAGATTAAGCAGATATGCAAAAGAATGACAGACAGTAAGCTCACACTTAGCTAGGAAGCATTTTTTCCTTAGCGCAATCAATGTACTGTATTGCTAATAATTCTCTATGGAGTGCTATTCTGCAGTTGATTATGTCTTTGCAAGTGGGTGTAAAAAACTACTGTTCAGATTTGTGTCTGCCTTTCACCAAGAGAGAAAACTTCATCATTTATCCCATGGACCACTGATTCATTCTTGCAGCCTGTGAAAACAATCTTCCCTCAAGAATTCCCATTACTAGTGGCTTCTGCCTACAAAACCCCAGCTATTCAGGGCTGAACTTGCACAATCCTCAAACTATTTTCTTCTCACCACCCTCCTGCTGGCACCTCTTCCTTCACTCATAAAAAGCAGAGTTAGCATTGACAATGTAGAGCCCTTGCTGCTTCGCCTGGCCAGCACGACCAGGTGGGCATCCATCAGCATGAGCTGAAGGACAACAAAACACCCACACAGAGAAGGCCCAGAGGCTTCTTTTTTGTTACTGCTACAAAGAATTTTGCCCTATGCTAACACCAGGAGACATCTAGCATATTGCTTTCCCTCTGAGTTGTTTCTTGAGACAGGGTCCTGCTTTTCCAAGAGACACTATATATTTGGAACCATCTGCAATTAGCGTTGTACATACAAACAGAGCTTGTACAATAGCTCTGTTATAATATCCAATTTTTAAACATATTTAAAGAACAAATATTACACACCAAATGCTAGTGTGGTCACCTTGCTTGAACTAACTTTCGGTTGTTATTAGTGCTTAGCTACTTTTCTGACATTATCAACATGTATAAAATCTCTCATTGGGGAAATTAAAAAGTACTAAATGGCAGTGACTGAAAGAAACTTTGTTACTTTAAACCTTGCATTAAAATGACAAGGCAATCAAAGTTTGACAAGACAAGCTAATTAGTATGCCAGCGATGAAATGTGAAGGATCTCCAGGGGATTGGTTCTCGAAAGTTTTATGTCATTTATAGGGACTTTTTAAAGCAAATGTTGTCAGCTCTTGTGGTGAAATACATAACAGCTGAATTTCATTATCTTGATACGTATTGAGGACTACATCCCTCCTCTGTTTTCCAGTCCTCTTCTCTTTCTCCCTAAATACTTGTGCTTACAACGAGTGGTTGTTCTCCCCATGAGTTAAATCCTGGTAGAAAACAGTGCTAGAGGTATCAATAGTTTAAATGTTGCAAGTGGAATTTTCAAAGATTTGTAAAAATATCCCCCTTTCCTAGAGAGCTTCTACTTCTACATGTCGTATGACAAAGAAATATTTCCTCTACAGTAATTTAAAAAGCCAATTAGGTTTTTCTACGAAAGTGTTAATATATTTTGAAGTGCTGCATACTGCATAGTGTACCAAATACAGATAAACAATAAAAGGTGAATACACAAATGTGTGTTTTTTCAAATGTTTAACAAGAACCGTGGACACTTCTGTTTAAAGTGCTGCCTACTTATTACATTGCTCTGTAATTATATCACTTTTCTTTCCTCAACACAGACTGAAGTTAATCAACTGTCACAGAATCAGAGTCTGCATCACATAAATATACAAAATTCTCACCCTTAGGAAGGTGAACCATGCTAACTTTGCTAACGTGAAGCGACAGCTGTGACAGTATCTTCCCAAATGAGGAGCTCAGGCACACTGAAAGCTTGGAATATTAGGAAACAAACAATTAAAGTAATGTGCATTTATCCTCAAAATAGTTTTACTAATGTATATATCACAATGAGACCTCAAATCTTCTGCTTTTTTTGGTTGTCAGAGGCATAAGAATGGTTTAACACCAAGGAGATTTCAAGAAATTCTCATTTCCAAATTTATCCAGATGACAAAATAGCAGTATTTTGGATTGGTGTGGAGAATGAAAATATCTGCCATAAGATTGCTCTTGGGCAGAGAGAGGAACTCAAGGATGGATGGAGCAAAGCAATCCTTGTCTGAGAGAGGTCAGCTTGGGAGGGTGCTCCCCAGGGACACAGAGGCACATCACCAAGCAGCCTCTCCCAGCTGAAGGAATAAAGCAAGCTGAAGTGTTGTCACTGAGAAACAGAAAGAGGTGTGAGTTTACCTAATTGCTGTGCTGAGCAGCACAGGTTTGGTCAGTAGAAGGGCAGAGTTTTACTCTACAGGGACTCTCATTATCCTGGTGAAAGTACTGTAACACTTAGCAAGTCTAAGGCTGTTTGCATTAAGCAGGCCCAGTGAGAAGGACACTCAGAAAGGCCTTGCCTTCCTTCCCCATAAGCACATCCCTGGTGTCCACCTTCCCTTCCCTTTTGCTTAAGCTCTGTCAGCTTTTCTCAGCAATTAGGAAGCAAGGCAAATGGCTGTGATCTGTTTGAAGATGATCAGTCATATTTTAAGGCCCATGTGTGCAAGAGACTTTACAGTCAGAAGACATCATCTTAAACAATCTTTTTTCTTCCTCTCTTCCATTCTTTCTCCCTTTCTCTCTTTCTTTTCCATCCTTCCTTCCTTTCACAGAGGCAGAATTGCAAACCTAAGACATTTCAATTAGGATTACCCCAAGAACACAACACCCCACATACTAGAGAGCACATTCACATGTTGATGGCAAAAGTCATTCTTAACTGCAACAAAGCTGGCATTCTACTAAAACATGCAGGAACACATTTGTACAGAACAAACAATTCTTGTTCTTATTCACTAATGTTTGAGTTTCACGATACATACGATTACACATATGCTTTTCCATTCTCCTTCAATTTGCTTTCAAGTAAGAATTAGGAACAAAGGAAACAAACATGTTTTGAGGACTAAGGCTCCTATTTTTCTCACTTCTATGACATATGCATAAAACTTGTACATTTCTGAAGAACTAAGCTGTACACTAAAAGTCTCCAAATAGAACATCACTTTTAAAAGGTCAATGCATTGAAAGTAAAATGAAAAGAAAAAGCAAAATTTAATAAGGGAAGGAAAAAAACATCAAACACAAAAGGTTAATAATCTATCCTTTAAACAAAAAAGGCAATCTACTTTTTCTCATTAAAACCTGACACACAGCACTAACTGAGGAGATTATGTTGTGAAAACATTCTGCATCGCACGGTAATGCTTGATCGAGATCAGCAATCAGGAGCAAAAAGAAAGCACTGTTTCATGATTATAATAGCAAATTCTGGAAGACAACCAAATACATCATCTGGCAGCTCAACAGCTGTTACAGCTTGGTAGTAATACCTTGGCATTTGCTATAAGCTATAACTTGAAAAAACTGATTTCTCATCTGCCAGATACAAGAAAATGTCCTCCTTTTAACATTTCTGAAGTTTCTTTCATTAGAATACCCAGCTATCTAATCTTTTTTAATAATTATTTTACACATTTTTTATCCTTGCTGTTAAGTTAATTGGGCATCACTTTGATTTAAAAAAAAAAAAAAAAAAAGTTGGATGGAAAAAAATCAAATGCTACCTAGATAAAATAATGTACGTTCAGCAAATTCAATTTTGATGATACAGGACAGTAGACAGCATAGAGTATTCCTAATTGTCCTCCTTGTTCACATTCACAGTCATGATCAATTGGCCATTATTATACCTCATAACTTCCTGAAAAAAGAGACATTTCCAAAATAAAGCTCAGTATCTCTCCAGGTGTTTTGTTCTTACTTAAGCCTTCTGTTTCCAAGTCAGAGGCAGTACACATGGATGTAGACTAAAATAATGATGCTGTGAATTTACAACACTTATCAAACCTTGTCTTTAAATTACTCCTGGGTATAGGGAAGGAAGAGGAAGAAAGAAGTCATTTACTGTCAATTTTGTAACAATATGAACTAGTCAAAGCATTTGTGTGTAGAGTGGCACCCCAAAAAGATGAATTTTCTAAGCGCACAATATTTTGGCATTAAAGTAAATATGCATCATAACAAGAACTTGGACTACCTTTTAGTGTTTCCACTATTCTAGTTATTTTGGGGTTAAGTAAAAGCAATCCATCATAAATATTTTAGATTCTGGCATTCCACTTAGATTTTGAAGTGTCATAAACAATATCTCTCAGAAATCAATATTCATGCAGCACATCTATGGGGAAAAGAAACAACAAATACACAAAGGTGGAATAAGCTATCAAAGAGAATTCTACCTTCACGCCTAGTGCAGTTTTCTTGGCTTCTGCTTTTAATCTCGTTGCTCTTAACATAGGTCTGGTTTTCTTATAATCTTGCTTTCCTAGAGCAGAAAAACACATTAATTGAAAATGATGCCAAAAAAGATAAAGAATGTCAGCAATTATCTCAGTTTGAAAGTCAGCTCTCACATATGCAAACAAATCTCACAGTTCAGCACTTTAAACAGAAGCCACGTTATAGGACAGGGGCCCAATCAGAAGAACAATGTTCCTAAACTCAGGTGATGATAACAACAAGCAGGAGCTGATAAATCAGTATAGAACCTATTACCTCAGAGAGACATCCAAATACACATACTGACCACCATCCACTAGTACAATGCTTATTAAATTGTTCAGTAAGCATCAGACTGCAAGTAAGTAGATTAAAGGAGGATGACGTTTTACCCCTTGCTTTTCAATCAAAGCAAAATTTTCATTATAATTTTTGTTGGTTAGCCACCTCTAATGCATTTATAAATGTGTAATACGTGACATTATGGAGAACATAAATGTTTCATCATTCTGAACTGGAACGTTATTTGTGAGAGTAGAACTCAGAGACACGCAGGTCAATCCAAGTAGGCATTAATAAAACCATTGTTTCACACCATCTGTTTATAGAAACATGTTACATGGAAACTTCTAGAAGTGTCTTAGATGTGCTTTTAAAAAATTATGAGAACCACCTCTTACAGCCACTACACTGTGCAGCAAAGTGCTTCAGGACTGAGTCCGTATGAAGTGAGTTCAGAGGAGGACATGAGAGTACTTAGAAATGGTATAAATCATTTAGCTCAATTTAATAATAAAGCATAAAATACTCGATACCTCTCAGGGATATTTTTGCTATTTAAAGGACATGTTACCGCTGTACTGCACACTATTAACCATAGCCTCTCTAAGCTGCCAGAAGTCAAGGTACTGATAGAGTGAGAGAAGGAGGAAAAGAAAAAGGGTGAAGAAACAGCTGAGAGGGGTAGAACCCTAGCATAACTCTTTCCTTCTTTTTCCCCCAGTGCATGCCTGAATTTTGTACTTTTTGTCTATTTTCCTAGACCTAACCTACATTGCTTAAAGAAGAAATGCTATAGTATTTTTTTTCACCGCTAGTTTTACATCTAGGTTTCATCATTATCACATTCAAATAATTTAACCTTCTGTCTAGAGCTGTGCCCAGTATTTCTGCGCACGTAACACTCCCATTTAATCAGCTAGATGGGGGTCTTGCATTTATAAACAATAGAGCAAGCTTCAGACTGAGATATTACAGAGCAGTGGTGGAATTCTGCAACATCAGTTGGAAAAGAAAGATCTTCTCCAGTGATACCCTGGATTCACACTTGTATCTTTGCCCACACTTTCTGTTTCATCTCTCTGCTCGTATTCAGTGCAGAGCTCCTCTCTGTGTAGCATATGCTGTTTGCTCTCATGGTCTAATCTGTCCTCAACCCTAGGGATTATACATTGCAAAAGTCTTCGTATTATCCGTTGGTCAGATATTATTCATTGAAGACCTGAAATAACTTAGAAAATACTCACTGACAAAAGGAAAAATAACTGAAATCATTTGAAAAAAGCATACATCCAAAGAGCCTTCTTAGAAAACGGAGTGAAGAAAAAATGACAAAATGACTATTTATGTCTTATGTTCCAATATATTCATCCAGTCAACATATCTCGTTTACAGGAGGGGATGACTGCAGCATTATTCTTCAGAAGTGAATGCTATCTGATAATAGGATGCATCAGAGAGTTGAGTGCTGTAATAGTCCAAACAGTTATGGAGAGATTTGCAGTAACAACCAAAACAGCGAAGTCAAGACACGAAGCCAGACTGAAAGAGAATGTGTTCCCCCCACTAAAGTACTGCAGACGTACTTTTGCAATGAAATAGTTAAAGAGCTGTCAGAATTTCCATTATAAATGGCAGGAGTTTATAACTCATAAAAATTCACTCCAGGGTGAAATTTGGCATTAGATATACCCCAGCCTTGAATTTTTTTTTTTTTTTTTGTTTGTTTGGAGCCAACTTTCAATAAAATGATACAGCTGTTCTTACTTACTCATGAACAAACTATAGAAATTTATCCATTTGAGATGTTTTAAGTACGACAAAAACTTTCACTTAGAAGTATAAAGCTGACAAGGACTAGGTTCAATTTCAGTTCTCATAATTCACATTTGCTGTTCTCCCGTCTGGGGCAAGTAAAGCAGGACAGTCAGAGGTTTCCCTTCCAGTGATGCAATGGCATTAGGTAATAAAAACTAGAAAGGACTGCAAGGCCCGTTAGGGATGAGAAAAAATAGTTAGATGCTGTTCCCCACCTACCTTTCCTCCCATTGCTCATTCTCCCTCTTTTTCACCAAGGACTAACTGTGAAGGTTACTACAGCAGAGGTAAATGCTGCACAGGAGAAAGTCTCCCAGAGAAATTAATCAGGAGTACCAAGCCTATTTCTAGCAAAGAGTAGCTGACTAGTGTGACTTCCCTCAGCTTCAAGCACTCTGGTACTGTCTATTCCAGTTATGGTTAAGACCGGATTGTAATTTAGAGAATACTTCCAGATTTATATTAAATCTGATACGAACAACTACCCCAACCTTTATAATGAATAGGCTATTTAAATAATTACTCCGGAGCTGATGCTTCTCCAAATCAATGTACCTGTCATTAATCCTCCAGTCTTCTTTCAAATGCAAAAGCCAGAGAAAAAAAAATATGGGAGAGAAACAGTCTGAGTCTACCAAGTGCAAAAGTTTAAAAAGGGCATCTGTGGAGTCCTTCCTAATGAAAACCAGATTTAGCAATTGCACTAAAGGACTTTTAAAACATATGAACTTTCTGAGGCCTTGGGAAAAACATCTGCAATACAGGACTATAAAGAACTCCGAAACGCAAAGCCCCAACCATGTGAACACTGATCATTACCACCTGGAACACAAGCAGAAATAACTAGTACTAGCTCCCTATGTTCTCTCTGAGCCTTCAAATTCAACCAGTTGGAGTATGTATATTCACACTTCCAATTTCTTACAATTTTATCTCACTTATCCTGAAAGCTTTGTACGTTTATCCATCAGAGTCCTCAGCTAAAGCTGTTTCTTCATCCTGGGAAGGGATCGTCAAAACCAGTTAAGATGGACTCAGCAAACAAAGCTCCATTTGTCTGCTCTACCTGATGTCTATTTAAGACAGTCACTGAGTTTTCCTGGGGGAACACAGGAAGGCAAGAAAAGAAGCCAAAATCATATCACTGGAAAATTTCCAGACCAAATCCTACTTTGTGTATTACCTAAGCAAAATCCTTTCCTTTTTTTTTTTTTTTTTTTTTTTACTTTTTCTCATTGTCATTACCATCAATTCTTCATTTTGTCTGTCAAACTCAAGTACCAGCTTCCTTTCCCCTTTCTCCTTTCTCCTTTCCCCTTTCTCCTTTCTCTTTTCCCCTTTTCCTTTCCCTTTCCCCTTTTCCTTTCCCTTTCCCCTTTTCCTCTCCTCTCCTCTCCTCTCCTCTCCTCTCCTCTCCTCTCCTCTCCTCTCCTA